CTGGGCGGTGCTGATGGGCCTGCTAGCTGCCACAGACTGCGTTAAGCATTTGAGATCTATACAACCTCCCAGGTCCTTTTTTTTTTTTGTTTTAAAGATTTTATTTATTCATTTGAGACACAGAGATACAGAGAGAGAAAGAGAGCATGAGCAGGGAGAGAGGCAGAGGGAGAAGCAGGCTCCCCGCTGAGCCAGGAGCCCGATGTGGGGCTCGATCCCAGGACCCTGGGATCATGACCCAAGCCGAAGGCAGATGCTTAACCATCTGGGCCACCCAGGCACCCCTCTCCCAGGTCCTTTTATTGACCCACTTTAACATGAGAGGTTATTCTCCCTCTGATTCTCCCTCTGTTCTCTCCCTCTCTCTCTCACTCTCTAAGTAAATAAATAAAAATCTTAAAAAAAAATAAAAATAAAGCCTTGGGACACTTGGGTGGCTCAGTCGGTTAAGTGTCTGCCTTTGGCTCAGGTCATGATCCTGGGATTGAGTCCCACATTGGCTCTCTGCTCAGCGGGGAGTCTGCTTCTCCCTCTCATTGTCCTTCTGTTCTCTCCCTCCCTCTCTTTCTCTCTCAGTAAATAAATAAAATCTTTAAAAAAAAAAATAACATGAGAGGTTAAGAACTTGCCCACATTCATACATCTGTTTATTGGCTTAGCTGTATTTGAACATAGGCAATTGTGCTCCAGAGCCCATGTTCTTAATTCTCCCTGTACTGTAGAGCTCCTATTCCTGGCTGTACATAGAATTACTTGAGATTTTATAAAATACCCATACCAGGGCCCCACCCCAAATGAATTCAGACAAGATCTCTGAGGATAGAGCCCAGACATGAATATTTTCTTTTTTTTTAAAAATTTTTTTAAAGATTTTTTTATTTATTTATTTGAGAGAGAGAGAGAATGAGAGATAGAGAGCACGAGAGGGAAGAGGGTCAGAGGGAGAAGCAGACTCCCCGCTGAGCAGGGAGCCCGATGCGGGACTCGATCCCGGGCCTCCAGGATCATGACCTGAGCCGAAGGCAGTCGCTTAACCAACTGAGCCACCCAGGCGCCCCACATGAATATTTTCTAAAATGTCCCTAGAAGGGGTGCCTGGGTCATGCAGTCAGTTAAACATCAAGCTCAGTTTTGGCTCAGGTCTTGATCTCAGGGTCATGGGATTGAGCCCTGCATCCAGCCCTGCCTCAGGCTCTGCACTCACTGCAGAAGTCTCCTTCAGATTCTCTCTCTCCCTTTCCCCCTCCCGCTAGTGCTCTCACTCTCTCTCTAAAATAAATAAATCTTTAAAAAAAATAAATAAAATATGGGTGCCTGGGTAGCTCAGATGGTTAAGCATCTGCCTTCAGCTCAGGTCATGATCCTAGGGTCCTGGGATCGAGTCCCGCATCGGGATCCCCACTCAGCGGGGAGCCTGCCTCTCTCTCTCTCTCTCTGTCTCTTATGAATAAATAAATAAAAATTATAAATAAATAAATAAATAAAATGTCCCTAGAAGACTCTAATGGCCAGCCAGGTGTAAAAGCCAATCTAATCCTCAGTGCCATACCATTTTATTTTATTATTATTTTTTTATTTTTTTAAAGATTTTATTTATTTATTTGAGAGTGAGAGAGAGAGAGCACATGAGAGGGGGGAGGGTCAGAGGGAGAAGCAGACTCCCTGCCGAGCAGAGAGCCCGATGCGGGACTCAATCCTAGGACTCCAGGATCATGACCTGAGCTGAAGGCAGTTGCTTAACCAACTGAGCCACCCAGGCGCCCTGTGCCATACCATTTTAAATACTTTATATTAACTTATTTAATTCCTGCAAGGTTGATGCGAATAGTGTCCCCATCCTACAGATAGGAAAACTGAGGTTGCATAGTTGGCAAGTGGTAGAGCCAGAATCTGGACTCTTTACTTCAACCTGTGCTATGGCCTAACCATTCTGATTTCCTGAGACTAGCTGTTCATCGGATTGAAAGGGAAAGAAACAAACTGCTTGAGACCCTTTTCTATGTCTGCCACTGTGCTAGGAGATTTCCTATAGATGAAATTCCAGATAAGGAGTGTCATTCTCATTCTCCAGAAAAGGCAAGACAGGCTCAGTGAAATTAAGTGGCACACTCTGGGTTGCAAGGCTGAGAAGCAGCTGAGCTGCCACTTCCAATGGGTCCATCCAAAGTCCAGGCTCTGTCACAGGACAACTTTTTCCCTTTCTATGGTATCACCTGCCCATGTCAGAGGTTGAAATCAGTGCCACCAGAACCAGGCGATGAGCAGACCTACTGGGGTTAGACCAGCTGGAGAGTTTGTGCCTTATTTGGAGGGGCCGCAGCTCCTCTACCAGTCTGCCATGGAACCAGAATGTGGGCCCAGTGTGGCTAGAACATCCAGTTTGGAAGAGGAAGTGGAAATCCTGAGTTTTATTTGATATCTCTGGATTTTTTTTAAAGACTTTATTTATTTATTTGAGAGAGAGTGAGTTAAGAGAGCATGGGCAGGGAGAGAGGCAGAGAGAGATCAAGAAGCAGACTCCCCACTGAGCAGGGAGCCTGATCTGCGGCTTGATCCCAGGACCTGGGGATCATGACCCGAGCCAAAGGCAGACGCTTAACCGACTGAGCCACCCAGGTGTCCCGATATCTCTGGATTTGTAAGTGTCAATAACCAATTTCAAAAAAGCAAAAACAAAACAAAATTTCAAGCATCTTCTGGACCCTACCTTGCCCATCTGTGAAGAAGTGTGGCCTTTGAGTCCCATGTTTCTCTTCCCACACACCTACTTCCAGCCTGGAACAGTGCCTCCAGCTGCCTGACCAGCCACTGATTCCGCAGTCAGTATGTCCACACCGAATTCGTGATTTCTATCTCCACCTCACCTTAGATCCCCCCTTCTCCCACCTCTTATCTCCTCCACCTCAGAGACTGGTACCTCCTTCACTCAGTCACCTCCCAAAGACCCCTCTAATACTGCCTCCCTCTGAATCCCACCTGGTCCACACTACCATCACCTGTCTCTGCTGCCTTACAGCCAGAACCTCCTGATTGGTCTCCCCACTTCCTGCCATGCTGCCTCCCAGGCTCCACTGTTACCTCCTCCAATGGCCTCTCTTCCCCTTGGAATTAACTTTGAACTCCTCATCATGGTCTACAAGACCTTGCATGAGCTGGCGCTGGGATCTCCTCTTGACTCCTTTTCTGTCACCCTGCTCCAGCCTCCCTGGCCTTCTCCAAGTTCCTCCAACACATGGATTTCATGACCTTTGCCTGTGCTGTTTCCCCACAGAATCCTGTAATGTTTTTTTTTTTTAAAGATTTTATTTATTTATTTAAAGGAAAGGGAGAGAATGAGAGAAAGAGCACAAGCAGGGGGAGCAGCAGAGGGAGAGGGAGAAGCAGACCCCCTGCAGAGCAGGGAGCCCAACGTGGGGCTCGATCCCAGGACCCTGGGATCATGACCCGAGCTGAAGGCAGACGCTCAACCGACTGAGCCACCGAGGCACCCCTCCTGTAATGTTCTTCTCCCACATCTTCAGCTGGCTCCTTTCCATGCTCCAGGTCTCACCTCAGCTCCTGAGCCAGGCCTGCCCTGTTCTCACTGTCTCTAGTTGCCTTGCTCTCCAAGTACTCTCTCTCACATCTCCTTTATAGCCCTTACTGACACTGGCCACATCTTCCTGGTCTGTATCCACTTCCCTCCCCCTCCCCCACTTCCCTTTCTACTCCATGCCCCTCTCTAGCCCTAACCTGCCACTCACATGCATATATACCCTGTAATGAAATCCCCTTGGGAGCAGGGACAAGGTCTGTTGTATTCAACCTCCAGAACATTGCCTGGTACATAGAGAGCTCTCAAAAAATATTAAGGACTGCCTACACTTTTGTGTCTACCTCCCCACCCCCACAGCCTACCCTACCCTCTGCATCACATTCTCAGAAGCCAGAGCCCACTAACAGATGGGGAGTGAATCAGGAAAAGAGGCAGAGAGAGATAAGGAGGAAGTTCTGCCAGTGGGTGGGAAAAAAAAAAAAAAGGAAAGAAAGAAAAATCTAGGTTGAACCTAGATTCAGTCAAATGAATCACTTACTCCACCACCCCACACCCACCTACACCCACTGTCCACCACCAAGAGCAAACCAAAAGGCTGGATTTCTGGTTTTGGAGACAAAGAGGACAAGATTCAGGTTGTGCTGGCTCCTTGAACTTGGATCAGTCTCTGTCTTGGCCTCAGTTTCCTCATCTGTAAAAGGGAGATGGTAATGGTACCTCAATCACAGAGGGGTTATGAAGAGTAAATTAGGCCAAAAAGACTAAGAATAATGTCTGGAATGTATTAAGCACTCAAGAAATACCAGTTGGTATTACTATTAATACTCCAACTGGCACCACCCACTTACCTAACAGAACTTGGAGCCCAGTCAGTTGCCTCCATTGGCTACAGGACCTCTCTGGGCCTCAGTCTCCTTATCTGTTATGGGGACCATTTCCGAGTACATGCTCCATACCAGGCACTTGGCTTACACACTGTTTTGCCGACTACAGTAAGTTCCCTGAGCTGTGATCAGCTTCCAGCCCGTGCTGGAGACACTTTTTTTAGAGATTTTATTTCATTTTTTCATAATTAGTCTTTTTATTTCATTTATGCATTTTCTTTTTATGTCTCAAACATATAGCACTTTGTTGATCACAGCAAATGGTACAATATCAACATCAGTCTTTGGAAAGCCTTATTTAGGCTTATTTTTATATTTCAAACAAACCCTAACACCATCTCTCTCATAGATCTATCCTTTATTGTATTTATAAGTGTGCTTCCAGTGTACTTTTCTTATATTTACTGGGATATATGTACATCCTTATCTGTGTGTATGTATATATGAAGAGGTGTATGTATGTGTATAAATATATATCATTTTCTTTGTTTAGCTTATGCAAATGGTTTTAAGCTTTAAATTTCATTGTTTTCTTTTTCTTATTTTTCCCTACTTAAGATTTTATTTTTAAGTAACCTCTACACCCAGCATAGGGCTTGAACCTACAACCCCAAGATCAAGAGTCACATGCTCTACCAACTGAGCCAGCCAGGCACCCTGGTGCTGGAGACATCTTAGGTACATCCAAAACCTTGCTCTTCACCATCTTTTCTTTTCCTTAAATTCTTTATTTTAATTTATTCATTTTTAATTTTTAAAATTTATCATTTTAACCATTTAACCATTTCTAAGTGTATACTTCAGTAGCATTAAGTACATTCACACTGTTGTGCAGCCATCACTACCATCCATCTCCTCACCCTCCTCAGCTGAAACTCTGTGCCCATTAAAGAATAACTTCTCATACCCCACCCCCACTTCAGCCCCTAATAACCACTCTCCTACTTTCTGTCTCTGTGAATTTGACCATTAAAAGTACCTCCAGTAAGTGGAATCACATGATATTTGTCCATGTGAGTCTGGTTTATTTCACTTAGCATAATGTCTTCAAGGTTCATCCATGTTGTAGCTGGTAATTCATTCCTTTTAATGGCCAAATAGTATTCCATTGTGTGCATATTTATTGATTTTGTTTATCCATTTATCCTTTGATGGTCATTTGGATTGTTTCCACATTTTGGATTGCTATTGTGAATAATTTAGCTGCCATGAATATGGGTGTACAAATATATCTTTGAGGAGCACCCGGGTGGCTCAGTCAGTTAAGCGTCTGCCTTCCATTCAGGTCATGAGCTCAGGATCCTGGGATTGAGCCCCGCATTGGGCTCCCTGTTCAGCGGGGAACCTGTTTCTACCTCTCCCTCTGCTCTACTCGTGCTCTCTCTCGCCCTCCCTCTCTCTCAAATAAATAAATAAGGCAATGCTGTCGGGACTTCTCTCACTCTTGAGAGCTTTTTCTGTATCTTCACTTAAGAAACTATCATTTTGGGGAGCCTGGGTGGCTCAGTTGGTTAAGCGACTGCCTTCGGCTCAGGTCGTGTTCCCAGGGTTCTGGGATCAAGCCCCACATCTGGCTTCTTGCTCAGTGGGGAGCCTGCTTCTCCCTCTCCCTCTACCTGCTACTCCACCTGCTTGTGCTCTCTCTGTGTCAAATAAATAAATAAAAATTCTTAAAAAAAAAAAAACCACTATCGTTTTACTCACAAATAAATAAATAATAAATAAAACCTTTAAAAAACAACAACAACAACAAAAACCCCACACAAATATATCTTTGAGACTCTGCTTTCAATTCTTTGGGGTATATACACAGAAGAGGAATTGCTCGATCACATGACAATTTTTTTTTCAGTTTTGTGCGGAATCGCCATACTGTTTTCCACAGCTGCTGTACCATTTTACATTCCCACCAACGGTGCACAAAAATTCCAATTTCTCCACATTCCTTGCCAACACATTTTAAAAGTTTGTTTATTTAAGTAATCTCTACACCCAACGTGGGGCTTGAACTCATAACCCTGAGATCGAGAGTTGCACACTCTTCTGGAGCCACACAGGTGCCCTGCCAACATTCGTTTTTTGTTTGTTCATTTGTTTGTTTTTAATAGTAGCCATCCTGATAGGTGTGAAATGGTAACTCACTGTGATTTTGATTTGCATTTCCCTAATGCAATGTGGACTAATGTGGAGCATCTTTTTTATTGGCCATTTGTAGATCTTTAGAGAGGTCTATTTAAATCCTTTGCCCATTGTTGAATTGAGTTTGCTTTTTATTGTTGAGTTATAGGAGTTCTTTGTATGGTCCGGATGGCAGCACTTATCAGATATGTAATTTGCAAACATTTTCTTCCATTCTGTGGGTTGTATTTTCACTGTCTCGTTAGTGGCCTTCAATGCACAAAAGTTTCAAATTTTGATGAATTCCAATTTACTTATTTTTTTTTCTTTTTGTTATCTTGCTCTGGTATCATATTTAAAAAATCATTACTGAATCCAATATCATGATGATTTCCCCATTTTCTTCTAAGAGCTTTTTATAGCTTTAGCTCTTACGTTTAGACTTTTGATACATTTTGAGGTATTTTTTGGATGTGGTATAAGAGTTCAAATTCAGGGGCACCTGGGTGGCTCAGTCATTAAGTCTCTGCTTTTGGCTCAGGTCATGATCCCAGGGTCCTGGGATCGAGCCCCACATCGGGCTCCCTGCTCGGCGGGAAGCCTGCTTTTCCCTCTCCCACTCCCCCTGCTTGTGTTCCCTCTCTCGCTCTGTCTCTGTCTGTCAAATAAATAAATAAAATCTTAAAAAAAAAAAGAGTTCAAATTCATTCTATTGCATATGAATATCCAGTTTTCCCAGCACCATTTGCTGAAAGACTGTTTTTCCCCTACCGAATGGAAAATGGCCTTGGCACTCTTACCAAAAATCATTTGAAAAAATATCATTTGATACCAAGATTTGATACTAGGACTTTCTATTCTCTATTCTATTCTATTGGTCTATATGTATGTCTAGACCACACTATTTTACTTACCGTAGCTTTGTAGGGAGTTTCAAAATCAGGAAGTGTAGTCTTCCAACTTTGTCCTTTTATGAGAGTATTTTGGCTATTTGGGGGTCTCTTGAGATTCCATCTGAATTTTAAGATGGGTTTTTCAATTTCTGCAAAAAAATGTTAGGATTTTTATAGGAATTACATTGAATCCATAGATCAGTTTGGCTAGTATTGACATCTTAACAATAATATTAAATCTTCTAGTCCATGAACATGGGATGTCTTTCCATTTATTTATGTCTTCTTTAATTCCTTTCAGCAATGTTTTGTAGTTTTTTGTGTACAAGTTACACTCCTCCTTGGTTCAGTTTTACCTCCTTGGTTAAATTTATTCCTAAGTATTTTATTCTTTTTGATGTTATTGTAAATGGAATTGTTTTCTTAATTTTCTTTTTGGATTGTTAGTGTATAGAAACACAATTTTTGTGTGACCATCATTTCTTATCAGTGTCACTTATCCCAACATTGCAATATATGGACCAAGAGGAGTCAGGGGACCAGGTTTGTTTTTGTTTTTGTTTTTTAAAGATTTTATTTATTTGACAGGGAGAGACACAGCGAGAGAGGGAATACAAGCAGGGGGAGTGGGAGAGGGAGAAGCAGGCTTCCCGCCGAGCAGAGAGCCTGATGTGGGGCTCAATCCCAGGACCCTGGGATCATGACCTGAGCCGAAAGCAGAAGCTTAACAACTGAGCCACCCAGGCGTCCCCAGGTTTTTTTTTGTTTTTTTTTTAAGTAAGCTCTACACTGAGCATGGGGCTTGAACTCATGACCTTGAGATTAAGAGTGGCATATTCTACCGACTGAGCCAGCCAGGTGCCCCCAGGTTTGGTTGGTTTTAAGAAAGGAGCCATGCTTGCATCTCTGCCCACCTAAAGGGTAGAAACATCCTCTTCTCCTCTGACAAATTGACACCACACCCTCTTCCCCTCCCCTTAAAATAACAAAGCTTCACGGCCTCTCAAAATCCATCTCTCTGAAGGTGCCTGGGTGGCTCAGTCAGTTGGGCATCTGACTCTTGGTTTCTGCTCAGGTCATGATCTTGGGGTCATAGGATTGAGCCCTGAGTTGGGTTCCACACTCAATGGGGAGTCTGTTTGAGATTCTCTCTTCTTCTCCCCCTGCTCCCCATACTCTCTCTCTCAAATAAATAAATAAAAACTTTAAAAAAAATCCATTTCCCTGCCCCTACCCACCTGGAGTAAATCCACCCCATTGGGAGTCTATGACCTGATTAGAAGGAGTTCCATTTTAGTTACAGAAGGTCCTGTGACTTCCTTACACATAGTGTAGGCTTAGACTACCTGTAAAATGGGAAGACTGTTCTTGTCCTACTTAGGAGAATGGATGGGAGCAGACTGTCTTGTACACACCTATATCCTAGCACATAGTAGGTGCTTAATAAATAGCAGTGAATGTACTTGTATATTCACAAGTACTTCATGGATTATGAAGAGCTCTATAAATACGTATTGAATGCCTACTAAAGTGCCAGACACTACACCAGATCCAAGAATGCAAGTGGTACAAACAATGAATCATGGAACACTACATCAAAAACCAATGATGTGGGCGCCTGGGTGGCTCAGTCGTTAAGCTTCTGCTTTCGGCTCAGGTCATGATCCCAGGGTCCTGGGATCGAGCCCCACATCGGGCTCCCTGCTCAGCGGGAAGTCTGCTTCTCCCTCTCCCACTCCCTCTGCTTGTGTTCCCCTCTCTCGCTATGTCCCTCTCTGTCAAATAAATAAATAAAATCTTTAAAAAATTATAAAAAAAACCCAAATGATGTAATATATGATGAATAACATAACAATAAAAAAATTAAAAAAAAAAAGAATGCAAGTGGTATACAAGACCCAGACAGGTTCCACGCCCTCATATAGGTGATATTCTGGCTGGGTAATATAAATATCTAGCAACTAACTTTACATTAATTGTAAATGCATTAATAACAATTGTGGGGGCGCCTGGGTGGCTCAGTCATTAAGCGTCTGCCTTCAGCTCAGGTCGTGATCCCAGGGTCCTGGGATAGAGCTCGCATCAGGCTCCTTGCTCAGTGGGAAGCCTGCTTCTCCCTCTCCCACTCCCCTTGCTTGTGTTTCCTCTCTCACTGTCTCTCTCTCTGTCAAAAAATAAATAAAAAATCTTAAAAAAAAAAAAAAATTGTGATAATGTTCTGCTGAGAAGTACATGGTGCCATGAAAGAGTAACGGAGTGTGGGGGAGCTAACCTAGTAAGGGGTGGGGAATCAAGGAAGGCCTCGCTGAGGAAGTGACATTTGAGCTGAGACACAGAAGAATAAGGGAGGAGTTAGCCATGATGGGAAAGGGAGGGAGGGGGAGGACCTGTTGAGAAACAGCATTTCCAGCTAGAAGAAAAACCTTTCTAGAGAGAGTAGTGGCTTGAGAGATACACAGAGAAGACCAGTATGCCTGGAGCCCTGAGAACAAAGAGGGTGGTGAGTCATGGAAACTAACAGGATGTTAAACCAAACTAGTTAGGCGCCACGGAAGGGTCTTTAATTGGGGGGTGGGGGAAGCGTCATAATCAGCTGACAGAAACTCAACATGCAGGATATCCACTAAGGTCAAGTTTCTAAAT